GAATTCCACAGAGGAGCCTGGAAGGCTATACAGCCCATGGGGTTGCAAAGAAGTCAGACACAACCAAGCCTACACACACACAATGACAAATATTCTACTCACTGAAAATTTCCACCTTCACCTAATTTACATAAAAAAGAAATGAAAACAACTCTCAAATTGAATAAGATCTTTTCCCAAACACTTTGCCCAATAAAAAATACTAATTCTTCAGAGATCAACCTTTTTTTTTAAGGCCCAAACCACTTGATTCCATAGACAGTTGTGCTTGGAAGTTAAGCAGATTAAATGAAATCACACAAAATGTTTTAAATTAAATATTATATAAAGTACTTAGTACTCTTGCCTGATACATAGTATTCAACAACCAGTAACTATTTTTATTCTCGATAACCTCACTTTCAACAAAGAACCAATTTCAAAACTCAAGGAACCTGAAAATGTTGTTGAAACCACTGAAATCTCTTCTTTAGTCATAATACAATCTAAAGGAACATAATTTAGTCAGCAAGCCTTCACTGAATACTAACACAGCAATTCTTTAAAGTGTGGTCCCTAGATCTGAAACATTAACATCATCTGGTAGAACTTGTTAGAAATGCAAACTCTAGGGCCCCAAAGCTACAATCAAGGTCTGGGGATGAGCCCGACCATCAGAGCTTCCATAAGCTCTCCAGTGTTTGCTCCAGTTTGAGAGTTAGCGGGCTAGTTTCACAGAGCTCGGGGTGGTGTGTTCTGCAGGGACTGGAGCCCAGAAGCAGAGGAGTGATGGAGTTCCTAGGCATATCCTCCATGGAGCCTAGCACAGTGCCACACACAGAGCAGGCACTCAGGTCTGAGCAGGGTAACAGTCAAACTGCCAGTGGCTGGCTGGACAATAACATCATCAGCTTATTATTTCACAGAGATAAGAAATTCTGATGACTGTCTGCATTAACAAATAATGCAATAAGTAAGGACACAATGTGCACACACCAGGAGCTGTTTAACTGGCAAAGTACTCCAGGGCCTCCGGTACTTTGGCAAGTAACCCAGGCTTACTTACAAAGTGTCATATGGTTTGAAATGTAAGTGGAAAATACATTTCAAATTTACCAGTACACAAACATAATCTGTTCATGACCTCTATACAAGTCAACTGTGGAACATAAACTAAAATGCAAACTTATTGTTGCCTTTAAAAAAAGCACTTGTTAAAAAAAAAATAAACAATAAAAAAGTAAAAAAAGCACTTGTTTCACATATTACTCATCTATAATATGTGGACCCAATATAGATTCCAATTTGAACAAAGTGTTTTTTAAAAAAAACAAAACTGAGGAAACCTGAACATTGCTAACTGGATATTTGATATTAAAAAATTGTGACAAAGGATTAAGATTACATTTTTTAAAGAAGCTTTCTCTCTTCTAAAAGCTTTAGAGATGAAATGATATGTACTGAGCTTGATTCTTGGGGACAGAACATATAAAATTAGTCTGGTCACTGAGCTGCTGAGCACACAGGAATGGGGGGGCTAACTATATAACAGAGCTTCCAAACTCTGGCTCTATTGACATTTTGGCCATTTCTTTGACGGGGTAGGGGGCACTGTGCAGTGTACTGTAAAATGTTTAGGTGCATTCCTGGTCAGTAGCAACCCTCTCAGGTTGTGACAACCAAAACCAACATTGTCGAATGTCCACTGGGGGCCAAACTTGTCCCCAGTTGAGAACCATTGATAAATACCCATTAAATTCTCTTTATTTGCTTTCCATAGAAAAATATTTTTAAAAGTCTAGTTTTAATTATACTCTATGTATTGGTACAACTGCATCTCCCTAGTTGAATAATTACTACATAAAATTTAGAGAAACAGCCTGATACACAAAAAAGCAGAGAGGACTGGGATAGAGATCTGAGACCTAGTAGATGCTCTGCTGCTAAAGTCAATAGTTGCAAGCAGCTCCTGTCACCTTTTTGAGCCTCAACATCCTCATTAGGTCCAGCTGTTTGACGAGACCTTTTGAGGTTTTTTTTTAATGCTTTTAAGTTTTAAAATAATTTGGTAACAGTCTATCAGCTAAAGGTGGATATTCAAATCTGGAAATCAAATGAAAACAGAGTAGTGTACTAGTATGAAGAGAATTTTCTTTTTGCAAATTATCTGCCTTTTGTTATTCTTGACCTATAAGCAACATTTTTTACACAATTATATATAATTATTTAAAATTTAAAGAAGATTCCTGGGGTAAGCAAAATGGACTCTTTTTACAAAATATAAAGACAAAGCTAACTGTCATATCAGCCAAAACTGTCCATCTACTGGTGAACATATTTTAAAAAAGAAAAACTGTTATACACCCAAACAATGAACTACTTACTACTCAGCAATTAAAAGGAATGACTACTGATACACACACACAAATAACTCTCAAAAATATTATGCCAAATTAAAGATACTAGCCACAAAATTATACGCTCTTTGACACCATTTAAGTAACATTTTAGAAAAGGAAAACTAGAGAGACAGGTAACAGATCCATACAACAGCCGGGGGAAGGGAGAGGGAATTGTGAAGAGAAACAGGGCACCTTTCTGGGCAATGGAAATGTTCTCTAACTTGACTGTGATAGTGATTACATAACCATACATTTGTCAAAATTCATCAAACTGCACACTTGGGAAGAGTGAATGTTCTATCTCAATATACACAACTTAAAAGAGCTGCCCATCAGACTGAGAACTCCCATTCATTCTTGAACCCTCATTATACTCAACTGGCAGGAAGTCTAATACTCAGTTCAGTAGTATCAGGTAAATAATATGGTATATGCCAGACATGAAACACCACACAAGGTATCACACTGTGAAAGATATACAACTACTTTCAGAACATGTCAACACCAGAGTTAAAAAGAGGGCATGGATAAATAATGCAATGATGTGCTACAAACCTCTATTTTACCACTGTCAGAAATTCAATTTTAAATACATTCCAAGAGAATAAAGGCACACTCCATACCCTACATTTTTTTTAAAGTTAGTAATTTCTAATGACACACAAAAAGATTACACCATAATTCAACAAATTCAACAGAGAACCAGTAAAGACCCATTTGGTGAAAACCCGTCATTATCACAAATCTGCTATCATTGTTTCTGATTATAGTTTACTTAGAAATTATGGAGCTCCTGGGACTTCCCTGGTGGTCCAGTGGTTAACACTCCCCACATCCACTGCAGGGGGCCCAGGTTCCACACCTGGTGAGGGAACTAAGATCCCACAAGCCACACAGTGCAGTCAAAGAAATAGAAAAATAATAGTAACAAAATAGGAAGTATGGACCTCCTGCTCTGGTTCAATGTAAGATTGTGCTTCTCTGAGTGAAAGTCAATGATGTAAGTTAACTCACATTTTTGCTTGCTCCACTCTACACAGTCAAAGAACAAGAAAACAATGAAGAATGAGGTTCTATGAGAAAATGAAATTCACCAATTCACCTTGTCTAGATTTTCTACTGCTTTTTATGTAATTTCCTAATCCATGTCATGGAAAGGTACATACATCACTGTGCTACTGATTTACCAGGTTAAAGAGCATTAAATATCATCCATTAATATACTAAAGGGATGCTTTAGGCCAAGATTTACATAAACAGATTAAATCATCTAATGGTTATCCAGCAAATAAGTGGCATTTGAAGATTAAAATGAAGGTATTTGATACCACTAAGTCACAAGGTCTCAGGACGTTATTGAAAGCATGAAAACAGGCAGAGCAAGGAAGCTTTTCCTAAGTGACAGCATTTTCTTGCCAGGAATTACCTCATAACACTTATAATAAAAGGCTAGTGAAGTTTCTTTACAAGCTATTTTCTAGATTTTTTAAAACTTTTTATTTTGTATTGGGGTATAGCCGATTAACAAAGCTATGATAGTTTCAGGTGAGTGACTCAGCCGTACCTATACATGTATCCGTTCTCCCCCAAACTCCCCTCCCATTTAGGCTGCCCCACAACATTGAACAGAGTTTCAGATGCTATACATTAGGTCCTTGCTGGTTATCCACACAGTAGTGTGTACATATCCATCCCTCCCTCCCTCCCCACCCCCAACCTAGATGTTTTCGTTTTTAACAGAAAATAACTCACAGCTAGACTGGAACAGTCCTGAAGCCAGAGCTAGAAAAGAGTTCCAATAGCATTGGGACAGAGTCAACATCTCTCGAATGGAATTTTTACTACAAGCTGTCAGTCACTAAAACTGCTGTTCCTTGCCTTTTTAAAAAGTTCACAAGAACAAAAGCCAAGGTTTCTTTCACAGAATCATAGAATGTAAGTGCCAGGATAGACCAAGGAGCTCATCTAAGCCAAGTTCTTTCCAGGAAGGAAAAGAGCTAAGCCCAGAGTGGGTAACCCTCGGCTAGGCAGTGCGAGGCAGGTAGCTTGACTACACACCCTCATTTGAAAGGTGCTCAACCAACTCCTTCAAAACAGATTCGTCTGGAAACGCGGCTGCTACTCGCTAAGTCTAAACTCTCTCCAAGAATTTCTGAATAGCTCTGGAGTTCCACCTAAGGGGGCCGAAAAGATCCCTCAGAGGGCATTTACTTCTAGTGACTGTCACTAAACTCAGCTGCAAACGATTTACAGAACGAGGCATAAAGGACAGTCCACTTGGTCCAATCAAGTACTTTTAGTCAACACCACGAACCAGTTTTTAACCCGAGAGCCTCTCAAGAGCTGCCTACTTCATCTGAAAAAGAGTCTGGTAGCGGAGACCCGACACAAGCTCTTGAGAGCCCACTGAGCCGCCACCGCCTCTCAGGCCGACCACGCTGCAGCCTCAACGCTTCGCTTCCGAGAGAGCACCCGGCGTAGTCACGGATGCGCTCCCCGCCCCGCGCGTTCAGGAAACAGGCCGCCCACCGGACCCCAGGTGGCGAAGAGAGGGATGCGGCCGCAATCCCGGCGGCGGGGCGCGGAGACCCGACCCGAGCGGCCTCAGAGGTTACTCACGTTCTCAGTGTCCCGTTCATTCACCGTCGGCAACGGGGTCCTAGTGGACATTTTACTTCACTTCACTTCACAACGCGAGGGTGAAACAAAACAGCGCGGCCCCGGGGCCGGCGTCGCGGCGAGGAGCCCGGCGGTTCCGGAGCGGCGCCGCGGGAGGGCGGCTCCCCTCCCCCACGGCCGTCTAGAACCCGGGCCGGGCCCGGGCCGTCCCCCGGAGGGTCGCGGGACCTCCTCCACCCCCGCCCGTCGCGCCGCGGATTTCAGCGCCTGAGCCTCCACACAGCGCCGCCGGCGGCCCCTGAAGAAGAGGATGTGGAGTGCGAGACAGGTCCCCGCAAGCTGCGGGCGCCGACCATGGAGGGGACTGCGGAAGCGGCGCCTGCGCCTGGCTGCTCTTCTCCCTCCGGCTCTATTTCCGCCTCAGTCTCCGCCCGGTGGCTGGCGACACCGCCGCTCCCGGCACCTTCGATCCTCACGGACCCAAGATGGCCGCCTCTCGGCTTCCTTTGCTGCCTCCGGATGCCGGAAGTGACGACACCGCCGCCTCCCGAGTCCGGCCAATTAGCGCGGCCCGAGGAAGCCGGCCGGACTGCTGTTGCTAGGGGCGACTCCCGGGCCGAGGGGGCGGTGCCCATGGCGGGGGAGGGCTGGCTGGTACCGGCGGGTGGCTGGGGCGGCGGGTTCCCGGCGTCCTGAGCACGCGGCCGTCGGGAAGGAGCCGGCAAATGGTCCTGGGCGGTGGCCTGAGCTAAGACTGTTGGACAGGCGTTTGTAGTGTTGATGGAGCGTCTGCTGTGTGCAACAGCCGAGGTCGCGTCCCTCAAAAAAAGCTGGGAGCGCGCTGCATCCAGATGGAGCCGTGACAGTAGTTATGGGGCCAGGGCTGCGGGGAGGAGCCGAGTTCTTGCACCGTTGACGGTGACCCGGGAACCGTGAACTCTGTCACCTTTCCTGCCCCCGGCACGCTGAGCAGCCCTCGGCTGAGCTCAGCATCCTGAGGGCAGCAGGCCCGTCCCGCCCACGAGGAACTCGCGGTCGGGAGGGAGAGAGACCCGGACGCAGCTTGCAGAAGGAAGAGTGCTACAAGGGGGCCGGGAGCCCTAGAGTCCCCCTGGGACTACTGCCTAAATCTCCGTCGGGGGCAGGGTTATAACCGGACTCTCCGTTCCCGGGTCCCACCTTGGGTCGGAGTTTGGTGGACGCTTGCAGACTGAGACGTTGGAGATGGAACCTCCTCTGCAACCCTTCCTAGCTCCAGAGCCTCTGATTGTAACGCGTGGACCTGCCCAGAGTCTGGCCGGCGGTGGATGGAATGCTTCCGTGGGGGTTCTGAGAAGGCAGGGCGGAAGGAGCTGGAGTAACAGTGATCTGCTACTGAGAGTCCACCTTGTGGGTTCCACACATCTGTTAGCTCGTTTAAGCCTCGGGGTAACCCTTTGAGATGGGCAGACACACCTAGTGATCCCAAGTCTAAACAGGTTACAGTGATGTGACCAAAATACTCAAGTTGGTTAGCTGCAAGGCTGGGATTTGAACTCATATCCTAAAACTTAGAAGAGCACTTGTGGTGGGTATGTCCTGCTTTTCTTTTTCTATTTTTAATGTTTTCTCCTTTTGTCCCCCAGGATGTGACTCCTCTTGCTCTGTCTGGCACATTTCCTGCCCTGTGAGACATATATGTCTTTAAACACCAGAATCACTCCCAGAAAGGACAGATGCTCACAATGTCAGGACATAGGACTACTAAGATGCAGTCAGGGCTTCCATTGCTTCCTCTCAGGAAAGTGTTCAGGCCAAAGATTGCCCTGTTTGAATTAAAATGTCCTTCTCTTTCTCTCTTTGGCCAAGCAGAGATGGTTGGATTTTTGTTAGTTAAATGTATCTTTCACACAGTTCAACTGAGAAATGTGGGTGAGCACAAGACTGTGGGAGTCCCTGGAGGCACATTTGGCCCCCAACCTGGGAAGTTGGTCAAGAAAGCTTCCTGGAAGAATGGTGGTTATGCTGCATTTAAATGCATGAGTCGAGTTAGCCAGGTGAGGGTGGCTGAAAGGGGATGCCAAGCAAGATGATTTGTACAGATGAGGAGCAACGTGGTGGTTTAGGTAAAGGTCAGGAGGTGAGTGGTGAGACTGGAGGGGTAGGCCAGGCCCAGGCCAGGTTTGGACACAGCATGGCACTCCTGATGACAGGAATGTTAACTAGGTCAGCTGCGTAAACACCCAGAGGACCCACAAAAGGGTTTCAGCCTGGGGCAGGAGCTGAGAGAAAGGGTTTGGACGATTCAGAACATTCCACGTTGGCCAGAGAAGTGGCTGGCGGGTGAGGTTTCCACCTCAACGCTTTTTTCACTGAAGGCACACATTAAATAATGAGTCAGTGAATGCCAAGAGGTAGGAAATGAAGCTGACAGTACTTAACAAGATGCTTCTGGTTTTCATAAAGGCTACAATTAAAGAAACACTTTGAAACTTTCATAGCACTTGTGTCAAATGATATGATTGTACTATAAAGACCTGGAAATGGGAGGCAAGGTGTACATGTTCCACGCAAAATGGAGGAGGAGAAAAAAAGAAAGACAACCCACTTTTCTGTCTAAAGGACCCTCTGTAGCCTAAATTATGTACATCTAAGGATCTGTCTGGAAGAGATGGAAGGGTAGGATCTGAACATTGTTCTTGAAATGTCTTCTTCTGTCCTTTTTCATATGCCTATTTCCTGTCTTCATATTTTTTTTTATAATTTTATGTATTTATTTTTGGCTGTTCTGGGTCTTCATCACTGAGTGGCCTTTTCTCTAGCAGCGGCGAGTGGGGACTACTCTCTAGTTGCAGTGCCCGGGCTTCTCGTCACGGTGGCTTTTACTGTTGCGAACAGGCGCTGGGGTGCTCGGGCTCAGTAGTTGCGACTCCCAGGCTCCAGAGCACAGGCTGCATAGTTGCAGAGCACAGGTTCAGTTGTCACGTGTGGGATCTTCCTGGATCAGGGATCGAACCCATGCCTCCTGCGTTAGCAGGCAGGTTCTTTACCACTGAGTCACCAGGGAAGCCCCTCCTGTCTTCATATTAAAATAGGTTGTATCTCAGGCTCCTTGAACTGAAAAGATATAACTAAATACACCAAGTTGTGTATGTGCACAGATAGGGCCTGCTTTCATGTCAAGAAGGAGGGTCATCTTGAAGATAATCTTGTCCTACCCTTGCTGATGTAGGACAGAAGAGAAACTGAGCCTGGGAGAGGTGAAGTGACTTGTCTGAAGTTGCACAGCTGATTAGCAGTAGAGCCAGAATGGGCCCCGATTTCAGAAGCCCCAGACTTGTGTCCTTGTCCACAGCTACTGTGGGCGTGTGGTGGGGAAATCTGTTTAGCACTCACTCCATCCCAGCACTAGAAAGAAAGAGCAACGGCCTGAGTCCTGAAACTGCTCTCCTCCAGACTCCTTATGCCAGAAAAATAAGTCCCTGTTTGTTCAAGCCAGGAGAGTTTAGGATGGCTGTTACTTGCAGCTCAGTGCATGCCTAACCAGTGTCAAGTGGTCAGATCTCCTGGTCCCCGGGCCTGTGTTCTCTGCACCACACCTAGTTCGGATAGACCTAGGAAAGACCTGCTCCTGCCTGCGCATCACACCACAGCGCTCACAAGCACAATTCTGATGTGAGAGGGTGTGGGAACTGCTGGGATCCAGGATCCATTCCTCAGCTTGTGTGTGCAAGTGTGTTGTTGTCATTGCTGTGTAACTGATAAGGAACAGAATGCTGAGCACTTGGAATGAATAAAGTCAAGAAGAGAAGGAGGGGCTTCCATGGTAGTTCAGCGGTAAAGAATGCCTGACAATGTAGGAGACACGGGTTTGATCCTTGATTCGGGAAGATACCACACGCTGCGAAGCAAATAAGCCCGTGTCCCACAGCTGTTGAAGCTATGTTCCAGAGCCTGAAAGCCACAGCTACTGAAGCCTGCATGCCTGGAGCCTATGCTCCACAACAGGAAAAGCCACCACAGTGAGAAGCCTGCGCACCACAACTAGAGTGGCCCCAGCTAGTGGCAGCTAGAGAAAAGCCCCTGCGGCAACCAACCCAGAATGGTCAAAAATGAATAAATAAATAATGTGTAAATAAATAATAAAGTAGATAAAAGTGATTTTATATTTTTATTTAAATAAAAAAAGTAAAAAGTAAATAAAAGCGAATAACTAAAATTATCTTTTTAAATATTAGCTTTCTTTCAAAAAAAAAAAAGAATTGTGATGATTGTGGGACGTCTGGGGTCATCATGCCTGGAGGCAGGGACAGGTGTGTCGTCAACTAGGTCACAGGTGCTTAGAGGCCACCACCCAGGGAAATACAAAGTCCATTCCAGATTCCGCCCTCCTCAACATCCACAGGCAGGGGGTGTGCATTCGTGTCCGACTCTATGCGACCCCACAGACGGCAGCCCACCAGGCTCCCCCGTCCCTGGGATTCTCCAGGCAAGAGTACTGGAGTGGGCTGCCATTGCCTTCTCCGAGGGGGTATAGTAGGGGTCAGAGCAGACTTGCTGCTGTTTTTTTAGTTCACTGCTCTGGTGAATTAAATTCCTTCTTCACCCCCATGAAGACACTGTTGTCCTCTGCGAGGGCCAGCAGACAGCTTAGGAATTCTCGCGTCCTGGCCTTCTGCCAGGATGACTTCCAGACTACCTGGATCTTCCCTGTTGTTATGAAGCCCTGTCATCTGACTTCTTGCATGGGACCTTCTCAGACTAGCTCCCAGTGAGCAGAAGCCTTGATTTTTGCTGTCCGGGTACATAGTACATTCATTGAGCTCCAGCTCTATTGGCAGTGCACCAGGCACCTATGCTAAGACCACTAACTGCACCAGCCCGCTGAGGGAGGTGACAGCCGGGCTCAGAGAGAGGCTGTAAGTTGCCCAGCATTGTCACAGTCCAGAGAAGAGCCATGATTGGGCTTTTATCAAGGACTCATATTCCTACTGTCAGTTCCCATGAAACACTGCAATATTGGGGTGATCTTGGGGGATATGAAGATAGAAAGGGCCATTTTTCCCTTGTGCTTGCTGGCCCCAGGCTACTGAAATGTTCTATTCTCTTATCTGTTGGAGATTATAGATCTAAATCTAGTCCAGAT